AATGAATTATGATATGATATGATATGATATGATATGATATGATATGATATGATATGATATGATATGATATGATATGATATGATATGATATGATATGATATGATATGATATGATATGATATGATATATGATATGATATGATATGAATAAATATTTATACACGAAAATAAACCCTTCAGCATTTAAAAATAACTATGTAAAATCTAACGAATAGAACAAAAATGTTCTAAAATTTACTTATTGATAATAAGTGTATCTTTAAAATTTTTCTTATCTTCAAAAGCTCAAAATTTTATAATTGTATCTTTAAAAGCTCAAAACCCAAAAGTTGAAAATAAATGACGATATGCTACACCGAGTGTAAAAGCTTGAGATAGATTGACAAAACCATGCACGTTTGCTTTTTTTCAGGCACCCCGTAAAAGCTTTATTTGGCCCCTTCTCTCTATTACGTCCCCCTCTCTATTAAGCCCCTCCTTATTAAGCAAAAACTTAAAATAATCCCCCACTCTCTACTAAGCCCCCCCCCCTCTTTAGCCTTTGTTGTCAAACGAGGAAAAAATGCGCATTTAGTAGGTCTCATGACGGGTGCGATGAGAATAAAATCGTGTGCGTTAAGTACAGCCCATGTAAATATTAACTTTTGCGCCTTTGAAGTCAGTCGAACTTTGTTTAGAAGATGTTCCAGAGTTATCAATTGACGATTCTGGTGATTCTGATGAAGATGAGGACCTTATAATTGATTAATTAGACTTTCGAAGCCACTAGCGAAGTTTTCTGACCAAATTTGTACGACATTTTTATAACAAAAAATAGGCAAGGGCATTTTTAAAACATTTTTTACTTCAACTTTTTAATAAGCCCCCTCTATCTAATAAGCCCCCTCTCTTTTTAAGCCCCCTTCTAGAACCGAAGAAAAATAAGTCCCCAAGGGTAACCTTTTTAAAAGAAACAAAACTCTGGATTAACACTCAGTTTAAGTGCTAAAAGTCGCTTTAAGGTTCCTTAAGTACCAAATGCCAAAGGGTTACCTACTTTTTAGAAACAGAAAAACGTAACATAAGATAACATAAAATAGAATGCCTGATAAGTCATAAGGAGCTCTTCTTTCCACTAATCTTAATCAATTAAAAAAAAGATAGGTGCCTAATCGTTGCAAAGGTTGAGGATGATTAGTGCTATCCCGGGTGGGCTCAGTCAGTTGGTCAAACGTATATCAAGTGAGTTTCGAAAAACTCCGAGAAAGGGTCGTCTGAAAGCTAGAATTCTGGGACATAGAATCTTGAAAATAGTGTGGCTTTAAACTCAGTCAGAGGAACCACAAAGATGGTAGGAATTTACTTATGGTGTTACAGATCATTTTTTGGAAAAACAATGGCTATTTAAGTACCACGAAAAATGGAACTAAAAACGGGAAATGAATATGCCCTTTCCGGAAAATGGGAACATCAATCCTACCTGTTCAACACTTCTGTCCCACGATAGATTAAGCTCTTTATCCATAAAGCTTTTACCACAAAAGATACCCTGGATACCAGAGTCTCCATTACTTAGTGGGCCATTTAGACTCGGAAGATTTTTTTGAGCAACAGTGGCGGGATGGCTATGTTTTCCCTGGGGTGGCCAAGTCGATTTTTGCGCCCTATCTATATTTCGTGGTTATATAAAGGCACGTGTTTCTAGAAAGGAAATCAATTTTTGTAACTTGAATTCAAAATTTCACGAAAAAGTTTTGATTAAAAATGGTCAAATATTACAAGCAAACAATTGCCCCCTTATCTCCATTAGCGCCCATATTCAGGGGGGCCATGGCCCCCTGCCACCACGCCACTGTTGAGCAAGGATTGTGAGCGTATCCATAAATATATTACGAAGGCTTTTCAAATAGGCATGAAAATTAAAAGAGCATTAAAATGATGTCGAAATACTACTTCTCGTCCAACGCGTCTCAGGATACAAAACGTGTTGGAAGTATATTGTTTTAAGAACTATAATGTATTGTTGCAAATAAACCAGATTAGCAATTGTGAAATATCAAAATGTTTTTATAATAGTGGTCAACATGGTGTGGGGGTGGGGGTTGGTATGGGTGAAGATAACATTCTCCTAATTCTAACAAAATTGCAAAACATCTGAAAATTTCCAAAATATCTGAAAATATTAGGGGTCACAGTCTCCTGCCTTCGTAACAACACCCCTTATTAAGTTGCTATATAAACCCTTGCATTTGAGTATTAAGATAAACCACATATTACTTGCTGCTTTAAAACCGAGGGACTCACCTGCATACCAGTGAAACCAGCCGCCGGTCCAGTGGCAGTATTTATTGCTTGATTGCTGGTCTTCTGGCCAAACAGGTTGCTCGACTGTGGGTTATTACCACTGAAAAGGTTCTTCTCTGTAAAAAGGCCGCTGTTACTCGGCTGCTGCGAGGATAAGCCGGAGCCTAAAGGTGTCTGCTGTGTAAACAGTCCGCCAACCGAACTAGCTTGCATTGGGTTCGAAGAAGATATGAAGGGTTGTTGCTGTTTTTGTTGAAAGAGGCCTAAATCGAAGTTGGATGTACGTAATTTTTTAAATAAAAATCTGCAGTAGGTTGCGATAGCTACAACTAGAATAATCAAATAAGTTTTTGGTCCAAATAAGCATTTTTCGCCCGAGACTCTTGAGAGTATAAACGTCGGATAGTGACTGAAAGTAAGTAGGAAATTTCTATCCAGGTGTGGATCAAAAGTAACGTGATAGGAAGAAAGACGCATTTGATTGGTTCTTTGTTTTTGACCAATCAGCGACCGCTAACCTTTCACCTAGTTAGAAGTGCTTCAGTACGCTATGTTCCCGCTATTTCGTGACAGAAATAGTATAATGAAACATAGGAGCAGAGGAAGCGAAATAAATCGAGATAATTTGAAGCAGAGATTGAAAAAACGGAATGTAGCACTAATTCAATTTTTAAAAATGTTAATCATTCTAGTCGGAGAAATAGCTTGCCAAGTATTTTATTTTTGCTACAATCGACTAGGGCCAGCAATAGCAACCTGCAAAAGCAACAGCAACTAGCAACAGCAATTTAAGTGCTGCAGAAACGCTTATCCGTGGTAAATTTTGCGGTGCATTCAAGCTAATAGAAACAAAATATAGTGAGACTAACAAAGGAACAAATCACGATAAACCAAAACGGCAGAAACCTGCTACAAAGATCATAGAGACTAAATATAGTGAGACCTTCTACAAATCCTCTTCTGACATGACAGTTCTACTGCTACGTCTGCTGTGAATTTTATCCATTCTAATGTCGTGTCTTGCGAGCGAGCAACTTACAAGGGCAAACTGACCAAACTGGAAAATCTGGCAAGTTCAAGGACAAGTTGCAAGTATTGGCTATCAAAAATTGACTCCATTTACAAAAAAAATTTCATCAGATAAATTTTCGGCGTAAAAACTTCGTCGAAAAAAATTTCGAACAACTTTGCAGAATTTCGTCGTGACAAAATATCGTCGTAGTTTTTTTACACAAAAGTTGCAACATATTATCAAGATCTTAAGAGGAAAAACCATACAGGTTGCTTTATATTCAATTCCATAGATACCCGTTTGGAGTTTGGCTCATCTCCCCAGACAGCACGTCAGGAAAACCAAATTAAAGCGGTATATTTCTTCACTTTATACGAAGGTGGAGTCAAAAGAGGTGATTTTAGCAAGAGACTTTACCTTATATCTATAAGGCATGAAAGTTTATAAACAGAGTATAATTAAAAGTATTAGTGTAAGTACAGATTTGGAAAGCACGAGACCATCTCCAACAGGAAAAGTTGGTGTCGAAATTGTGCTTCCTGTAGAATTCAAAATTTTTGTTGAAAAGTACAAGAACCTTGAACGAATAAAAAAATAGCACAGTTGAGTATAAAAAGATAGAGCTGGAATCCTTTAAAACTGGCGATAAAACACAGTTAGAACAGAAGCGTAGCCAGGGTGGTAAAACGGAGGCAGAGAGGGTTTGGCACAGGCGAATTGAACAAGGGAAAATTGGGGTCCACATCCTTCTGGACCCAAGAAACAACCCTTTTTCAAAGAGTTTTTTGTCATTAGAGGAGGGGGGCGTCTGAGTTGGAACTATTTTAATCTAATGATGGTGAAAACGAAGTTAGTTCGAGAACCGACCTGAACTGACCTGGCTGTGCGTTTGTATTCGAACTAAAAAGTGAATTCCCAGCGTTGGCGTTTGAGGAAAATATTGACTGCTTTGAAGTACCAAAAAGTGAAGACTGGCCGCTGCCAAAAGTAGAATCTTGTTTCGAATGGAACGGACTAGCTGCACTCAGCAACGATTGAGAGGTAGAGCTACCAAAAAGGGATTGTTTTGCAGTGCTTGAAGCAAACGGATTAGCTGCTTGCGAAGGCTGGCTTGAAAACAAAGTAGATGAGCCAGAGAATAGGGCGCTAGAACTTGAAATGTTGCTGGGACTATTCTGGAGAACTTGCTCCTGAGAAAGAAAGAAAAAGAATAACAACTGCACGAGTAACTAGGTAAAAGAAATAGTAACATGCCAGGCTGAGTAAATATTTTCAAAATCCGTGGATTATGATATTGACAAAAATCAAACAAGATTTCAGGATTTTTCGGTTAAGAAAGAACTGATCCCAATTTGGAAATCGTTTTATGCTAGGTAGAATTTAATATGGTAGAATATGGCAAATGTAAAGGTACCTTGTAACAACTGTTTATCGTGTTGTATATTGATACTGGTAATAATCAATAAATCGAATGTACAGGGAATATGCTCTTACAAACAGACTCCTTACCCAGTTTGCAACAGTAATCGACTTCAACTCAGCTCTTCTTGTCATAAATTTCAGGTTCAACTGCTTCATGTTATTTAGCTGGAATTAAAAGTAATTAAAAGCATTTAGCTGATACTTTGATTAGCATTTAAATGGACGAAGATTTGACATGATATTTATCCAAGTCTTGAAGTGGTCTTAAACACAAGGTATCACAATTCCATTCAGGTAACTTCTATTTCTTCGTACACCCAATTTCATATAAAAACACGCTTCACAAAAACACCGAGAATCGATTTATCAAAATATATAAGAACTGCTTAGCCAAAGATGAAAAATTAGAAGATATACTTGTTTTTTAAAAAAATTCTGTCGCATCAAAACTGAGCAGATTTCATCAGCAAAAAAACCGAGTTACTAAATATGGCTATTTGAAGCAGAATTTATCTTGCTATTATAAAAAACGCAGATATAAGTAAAATATCTTTATTTTTCAAGTCTCAAATTCAAGACTAACAAACTGAAGGCAAAGTTTGGCATTCATTAATAAGCAAATAAGGAAAGTAGGGTTTCTTTGCTTAGACGTTGTTTCTAAATAATGAAAGCAGAAATATTGCTGCTTACATATTCACTTGTAGTTCCTTTTTCCTTGGCAATATATGCATCCAGGCGCATTTCATCAGGAGATTTATCTACAAGTCCTAAAGAGACAGCCAACGGTTATTCTGGTAAAGGGTAAGTTTTATAAACTGCTACACGTCGAAGCTTCAAGTTATCTTAACTGGTTACCTGAATATGAATGAGGATCTATTGTAACGACAGCTAGAAAAAGGATGGATATGAATTTGAAAAATCTGTTAGGAGCCTATTGTAAAAGTGTCAAAGACTTTAGTACTGCTACTACAAGTAGCTTGTTACTGCTACTGATTAATGGAGGCAGCTTCAGTTTAATGAATGATATGATGAGACTGAGCCGCAGCAGCCTAGACGTTATAATGGAACTTAAAGGTATCGTTATTGAAGAAAAACCTTCTAAAGTCTGTAGATTCAGGTGAAGTGCTATATATACGAGAACACTTTAATAGCAGTGAAAGGCTATTTAATCAAACTTTGTGCTAGCAAACTATTTATGCTTGCAAAAATAGTTAACTGGAGAGATAAATGTGTGATATTGCAGTAGAGTTCACACATAGCACTTTCGCTAATAGCCTTTCAAATATGAATGACGTGTTTGAGAAATGACATCTAAATTAAATCCTGAAGTTTTCACCATCATGAAAATGATAAGAAGGTGGCTATCTATTCACTCCCCTTGCCACTCATCCCCTCAATCTCTTACTCCCTCTAATGCACGTCCACCAGCACATGCCTCTTACACATGCCAGACAGTGTATATGTTAAGGAATCAGAAAGAAAAACAGTTTGTAAAACACAACTTGACACTCCAGGCTCTTCTATCTAACAGAACAGTAGAGCTATACTTTTAGTTCCACTTGATTATAGTTCTCTGGTCGTTATATTGGCCAAGTTTATTTCTTCAAATTAATGCTTTTCTGCACGCCTTATTTCTATCTAACAGTTATTGAAATTGTTTCTGATATCCAGCTAGCTAGTGCAAATAACAACAAAATTAGGATAAATGCAATCTGGGGTATATTCTTTTAAAAAATCCATCTCTTATTGCAATGTGCCTTGTCTTGATCTCATATTATTTGAATTTTCACTCATGTAATAAGACAACAGATAACAAATGTTCCACCTTTCAAGAGTACTGGGCTAAACACCTTTGTTGTAGAGCAAGTACCTAAGGCTCGTGTGCAAATAAAGGAGAGGCCACGATAACAGGCTGCTCGACGGACTTTGGCGGAAATCTTGCAGCAAAAAATCAATTAAATAGTAGTATATGAGGAACACCACAACGCGACAAGAATGAACAACACAAAGTTTTTTGCTCTGATGAAGCCCCGTATGCCAGGGCGAAATATAGCCATCATTGATTTGTGTGTTTGTTATTGTTTATTCTCGTTGCGTTGCGGTGTTCCTTATATACTACCTAAGGCTTACCTGAGACGCAAGGAGATTCCTTTTGGTAGGAAAAGCAAGAAAACAGCCACATTTTTGACTTCTCCCATAGCAATATCTCACTTTTAATATTCGATCTGAAAACATTCAGAATAACAAATGCACAAATCCAACAGTAAAGGTTTCTAAATTTTTTATCCATACCTTCAGGTGGATATTCCTTAGAATCATGAAGTGTAAACAATTGTTTTTGAGTGCAATTTGTCAATATAAGGCTGATGATGATCAATGTCTACAAACTTATCAACAGGCCATTAAGCAAAACACCACTAATTCTGATGAAATTACCCTTGGCTTTACATGAAGCTTTCCCCCTAAGGGCAGGCATAGCTCTTGCAAGTGAAAGAACAAATAAATGTCTAAAACTCACACAATCTTGTCAACAGGATTTTGGTTATTAGTTGCTGCTTGTTCTTTTGAAAAAACATTTCCTGCCGCTGACCCAAATGAGCTCTAAAAAATAACCACTTATTATGTTGATTTTGTTTATGTATATAAAATATTATGGCTAGTGTGATGCGTGGGATTGAATTTCAATCTTACCTTGTTGAGTCCTCCAAATGAGTTTGAAGTCCTCAGTCCACCTGGAAAAAAGAAGTTTAAATCAAGGCAAGAATAGAAATTTGAACTACAGCTAGGTGGAGAGATTCAAAGACCTTTATGGGACCTACGATAAGATTTTGGACTTAACTTAAATTGTAGAAGTAAACAATTTTTCAGTTTTCATTTTTATGTGTTCACAAAAAAAGATAATAATGAGCATCATTTCCACAAATTATACCTTAAACTCAAACACCTCGGAAAGTTTTCTTTTAAAAAAATATATCACTTTGTCCATCATTTGCAGTCAGCTCCCTTGCTATTAGCCTCAACCAAGATAGTTCTTTTAATTCTTATAGATTTGAAAAAGACAAAGTTAGATATTCAGGAGAAATCAGTCACTTTACTAATGAAGCAGCAAAATCATTTGCATTTGGTCACCTAAAGTCCGTATTGTACTGCATCTTTTTTATGAAGAAAGGAAAAACTTAGGGGTAGCAATAAGTTAGAAATTAATACTGGAATGATTGCTATTTCAGCATCTTCTTGCTTTTAGAGAGTTATTAGTACTGTGTATTTTTCACCCATACATTTTTCATACACAGAAAAATGATACCAAGGAAACCAAATCAAAAACAGGTGAAACTTAAAAAAGGGTAACAGGAAGGCTTTAGAACATTTTAAAAATAGTTGGAAAATCAATCATTATCACACAACAAATTTAAAAAAGATATTAAACAGAACCATGACTCTGCAGTTAAGCCCATCAAAGAGTTTCCCATTTTGACAATTCCAGCCTTCTTGAACGATTCCCATGCAAGTTCCATTAGACAAAGAAATAGACAATTTTTTACCTGATTTTTTTACATATTTACCTAAAAGTCAAAAGAATGTAGCACAAAGGATCTGTTGATCTATTTTCAAAAGCTTTCACTGCAACAAGCCATGCAGATCCCAATTTCCAAAAGATTTGTGCAAGTTTATTGAAATTATTTCCATATAATTGTAAGGTTAACTTGTTGCATGGAAAATAATTAAAAGTGAAACATGGTTGCTTAAAAAGGCTACTTTTTGTCTGAATTTTTTTAAAATAGAAAATTGAGGTATGGCTAAATTTTACCAGAAGGGTGGAATCAATATGGGTTATGCCAGAGATATCTGGAATGGACTAATGGCTTTCCTTTGTTTTTTTTCAATTGCTTTACTGTCTTTGCTGGCGTATCTTGGGCATGGGCCTTGCATGGATTCCACCTTGGTTAACCTGGCCTTTTCTGGAGGGGAGTGGGGGTGGATACCCCTTTAATTTTGCTCTGTTGCTAAGACTGGTTTATACTATAATATTTCAACTCTATTTCAAGCATATTGATTGGGTTATCATATTTAAACACTTAATATAAACATGTAAATACTTACTGGCAGTATTAGTACCTATTTCTTATCGGGATGTCAATAAAATAAAGAGGATCTAATTAAAGTTAATCAACAATTTATAAAAAATCAGGTGAAGAGAAATACCAAGATGATAGATAAAGTTTCAACCTACCCGTAGGGTGCTCGTTACGACATCTTACACCAAATTTACATGTTCCTTGCAGAAAATACTGACAGGTGACCATTTTTATTAAACTGGATGACAAATTATCAACTATCTTGTATCAGCCTCTTTTTCATAAATCTTCGGCACTACCGTACGTGACGTCATACAAACTATGGCAACCTAATGAATGAGTGGTAGTATGACGTTATCGCATTCCAACCATTTGATGAAAAACTTTATCGTTAGCGGCATGAAATTAAATTCCTATGTCAACTGCCAATAGGGTACCTCAGCTCAGTCAATGTTCTGAACACTAAACTATGGAAAATGAAGACTGACGCAATGCTTCTAAAAGGGCATTAAGACTTGATTACAGCAAATTTTTTCGGGGGAACACTCTCTAAAACGCTTGATAATGTTCTTATGCGGCAAAACCAGTTATCTGAAATATTAGAAACGGCTTCATACATGATTATCAATGGTAGTTACTCTAACTCAAGCGATAACGTAAGATAGAGTTTTCGTAGCTGCACACGCACTAAAACGAGTTCTTTAGATTCAACTGTAAGAAAGTGCTTCAAACGGCCTATTTAATGCTTTCGAGTAGAATAGACACCTTTTTCCGTTTTTCTCAGTTTGTGTGTGTTATGAATTAAAAACCCTTGGAGAAAAAGCTAAACTCCAGCTTCAGCAGAAAATTCCCCGAACGAAATAAGCAGAAAATCTGGCAAATACGCCCCTGCAGATTAAAAAAACTACAGAATGATTTTCTGCGGTCCTGTAGGGATGTATGGGCCCTGTTAATGCCACAGCAAACCACAGGCAAGTTCCACCATTGCTTGCAGCCTCCGTCTTATTTCACTTAGTCCTCAGTTTCAAAGATGTATGACGTCATATACGCTACCTGACTATTATCTAGTGCCGACCGGTAAAGCCCCGGCCAAACGACTCGATTTTTCATTCGACTTTTTACCCAACAAGAAATCGAGTGAAAAATCGAGTCGTTTGACCACCTTGTCGAGCGAGTCGAATGGCGTCGAGTGGTGTCGAGTGAAGTTTGATCTTTAGCAAAAAAGTCGAGTGAAAAAGGTGTTGTCGAATGAAAATCGACCTTTGAGACCTTTTAAAGTTATTAATTCCATTTTCAAAATGGAATTAATCAAACGAAACAAAAATATGCCTAAAATAATAATTTGCTTAAGCAAAGTAAAATAGTTAGTGACGGTTTCTGTCTGAAACGAATGACGCTAGAACTCGTCAAGTTAACGTAAAAGGACATTTGCATGTAAGTTAAGCACGGCAGCCGCTTTGAGTTTCTTTGCCTTAATTTTGTGGGCATGAGCGAAAATTCGAGTGAAAAATCGAGCGAAAAATCGAATCGTTTGGCCATCCATGCTCGATGCTCGACTTCTCCTTATCCTTTAGTAAGATGTTGATTGAACTTGAATGAATTCGAAATAAAATAATTTCAAAATTTTATCTCGAAACGAATTCGAGATAAAGTTTTTTATTAAACGAGCTAGAGGAAAGGACTCATTTAAAAACTAAGTTCCAGTAAGAGAGCCTGGAGTGAAAAGTTTCACCATAGTGACAGGGAAAACGTAAAAAATGCTTTTCTTGTGACTATCTTCTAGGCTAGGTCATACTGCTAGTGGATGTTTAGAAAACATCTAAATGTAAAGCTTGACTTTTCAGCAATTGTGAGTCTTTCCAGGCAGATATCATCAAAAGCAAAAAGAAGTATTCGTTTGTTTCCTTTCAACATGCCATTAAAACATAATTTTCATTCATACGATCTTTTCTCTGTAGGAATGAACATTTCCTTTTTCGAATCAAAATAATCATTTATTACACTTAAGATACCTTGAACGTGCTCGTAGACTCCATTCAATGCTGTTACTAGCTTTCAAATAAATGGACAAGGAAAATGCTAAAACAAGGTCACCTTTTGTCTAAAGCAAGCTTGGTAAAAAAAGCGAAAACAATACAGAACATAAAAAATATACGCGGAGCTCTGTTTTCATACAATAACCTTGGCATTAATAACAAGTTAAAACATTTCTTTTAAATTCCTCTATTGTGTATAACAAGTAGAGCCAACAGATGAGATGAAAAAATAATGCAAAATTATCGTTTACGCTATAATGCTATACTTGAAGCACTCATTGCATGTGTGAGATTAAGTTTTGGACGCTTTCTATTTGTAGCTACAAGACAATACAAACAAAATTTGTAAAGGAGAAATATTATTGTAAAAAGCCGTGATATATGGCATTAAAACGAATCTTTATTTTACTTTCAGTATTCTTCTTGATACTACTCGCTGAGTTTGTCAGAGCTTTGAAAAAACAATGGGACCAGGGACAGATTTAGCGGGATGTGTAGGGGTGCGACACCCCCGTCCCAATTTTGCTGTGTCCTTCGGTAAAATTTGCTGCTATTCGGTAAAAATCATTTTTTGATAGTCAATTGTAGCAAAGTAACGTCAAGATTTTACTTAATTTATTTTCTCATCTTCTTTACACTGAAGTTAAAAACAGAATTTCATAACAGGGAATTTCAGAACTGAAATATCTTGTTTTTCAATTGAATGTAATTTCACCGCAAGTAGCACTGAGGTTTTGCTAAGGCATAAGGTCATGCATAACAGTGAAACAAGCCAAGAAAACAAAGCAACCAGTTGCTCTGACAATAACAGTTTTGATTATTGCCACCACTAGCCTGCAGGGCACATTTCACTAGCAATATTTTGAGAGGGCGCCAATCGATCCTCCGTGCTTTCTGCAACAAAACAAAATAGTTCTGAAACAACTAAAATGATCTGAAAAAAAATAAGCTACTTTGAAATTTCTCAGCCATCTTTTGATATTAACAGAGCTGAGTCTGTGTACTGTTTCAGTTACCGTGCGGGGTCTCTGCAAAATGAAGTGGGGTAAATTTCAACAAAGCAGTGACAGATAGTTCACTCATTCGAAGGAGGCGCTCATAGGTTTTCATTATACAGAGTCAAAAAGTAATGCTGCAATACCCTGAAATCTACTCGAATGAAGGACATCAGGGGCTCTTGACACATACATGTATAGAACAAGAAAAAAGTTCCGTAAGCTATCAGCACTTAAAAAAAATCGACTCTTTTCACACGAAACCAAGCACTGATTGGCAAGATGTAACTCTGTGATAAAAGAGCATCTGAATTTTGCTGTAAAACATCTGAATGTGTTTAATAGCTTCAACTTTCCAAATTGATTTCAGTTTTTAACTCTCTACGTTGATACCTTTCGTTATTTCAGTGCAAATCTCCATTCTGATTTCTGAACCTTTACATGTTGCAAAAGACTATTACCCATATTACATCTTGCCTTACCTATGACGCCAAACAAGTTTACCCAGGCGAAAAAAGAGATAACAAACACTACACGACTGACAGTTAGTTCATCAGTAGAACAAGACTTGTTCAATGACTTTGATTACCAAACAAAAAAAATGTGATCAAGCAAATCGATTTGTGTTAGAACATCATACATAGGGGTACTGTCCTAAAACGTTGAGATTGAGTTGTGCTGTAAACAATTTATAAAAACCACACCCAAGACCATACCAAAATACTTGCATTTTTGTAAATGATTCTCTGCTGAAATCATTTAAACTATTCAATGACTCAAAAATACTGATAGGAAGTTGCTCATTAACAGAAAATGCATAGCACAATAAAAGGCTGAGCCCACCTAGCATATCTCTGAATTTTAATAAGGGGGCCGAGGGCCCCTCTTCACGGCACCACAGACCATACTAAATATTTTGCTGCAGCAAAAACAGTGGAATGGTACGGAACTGTTCCGGTTGTTGATCATTACTGATACTGTTTCTACATGTAACTCGAGAAAGCTAATTGCAAGTTATACATTACAGTACATAGGCAGGTTTACAATTGTATTATATGAACACTTCTTTACAGTTGTATTGTATGTATATTTCATGAATTAAATTCAAAGACGAAGATGATTGAGCTGGTAAAATATTGTGGATCGATTATTTTGAAGAGGAAAAAAGCAATAGAAAACATTGGCTTGATTTCTCATTCATATGATGTCCATTCATTATTCATTTCAAACCCCAAATTGCAATAAACTTCTAACAAATTTATATATCAATTGTTTATCTTGTCATTAAAAATCTGAATTTAACCTTCTGTAGGTACGATACAGCTAATGAAAAACCGGGGAAGGGATTTCGCGACAAGTAATAATTAATGTTACAGCAACAAATCTATCACTTTGTTACTTTTTGCCAAGTTTCTCAATAGGAGATTCCTTAAAATTCAAGAAATAGTCTATGGCTGAAAATAAATAAATATCAGTGCAATGACAAAGTGGAATCGGGCCCAAAGTAATATCTTAATAAAGAGTTATGGGCAATTTAGCTGAAATAAAATTACAGAACTTTTATCATTTGACCGATAAAAAAATGTGTATTTTGAACTGTCCCATTGAGCTGAAGCTTGAAATTCAACGAAATGAAAAATTAGCGTCATCGTTGAAGCAACACCTTCATTTTCAGACAAGAGTAAATCTCGGGTATATAACGCTTCTCATTAAAAACAATACATTTTTCACGACAATGGAAAGCATAAAGAAATTGCTCATACCACGGAAAATCTCCTATTTCCTAATCGCACATCCCAGCTTCCTCGTGATGTTAATTTCAAGAAAAGAGCATTTAATATGACATTTCCAGACTAATAACTTTAAAAATAATAATTGTAAAGGTAGCTTAATGCAGTATGCATTTCTTAAAACAAATCGAAGCGATTTGGGGTTTATCACATAACAGTAATCTTGGAAAAAATTACCAAGATTATATGCTTAAATCTTAAAATATTACAGCTAACAAACTGGTTAATCAGTTTTGCAAAAAACTACGGTCCTTAGAGGTCCTTCCTAATTCTTACTAACTAGAAATTTCTACTACCTAATCAGAATTTATTTCTAGCCTAAAACCACGCGCTACCGGAAATTTTACCTCATTGTGAAATTTTTCATCATTTATTTCGTGATATCACCTACTATATTGTTCAAATATCATAGACAGTATTAGTCATGATTTTAGGCATTTTGTCCTGTAAGACCTTTTTCTTTTCTTCCTCCTCGGATTTATTTTCAGCAGTGTCTTCCACAGGAACATTGGATGTTATATCGGTAGTGGCAACTTCCAGCGGTAGGGATTCAGGCCTTTCAACAGTACGTAACTCTTTTGTCGCTTCTTGGTTACTAAGTGGTCTAGGAGCAAGAATAATCGGCATGCCGGGGGCTTGCGGGCCAGATGATAACATAAATTGCCTGCTCTGTGGCGCGGGCAAAGGCGAATGCAAAACAATGTTAGAGGGTTGGTGGGTTGAATCGAGGGACACGTGGGTGGGCGATTGAGCTCTCTGGTTTCCAGTTGATTCTGTCTGACTGGCAGCTTCAGGTTCAACGATCTTTTTCTCAGCTATCAATGAAAAAGTTTGTTAAAAAGTATTTGTATTTGCTAGACCTAGGAAATTACCGTATGGTTCAAAGCAAGGCGCACTTTCAATGTTTCCACAGGTGAATTTTGAAAGTTTATTTGTATATCTAATGACATATCAAATCAGTCTATGTGATCATTTTATCGAGAGCTTTGAACATGGCTCAGCACACTTCGCCTTCTGTGCAGCTATATGTTCTGTTCCCTTCTATTCTATTGATAAAATCAACGTCTTCGTAGTCATCAACTATCTCACCTTGTTGCCCTAATACAGCAAGAGGCAGGTTTTACAAACGTTTCTATCTGTAAAGGTGGTAATTAGATAACAAACAATCATAATTCGCCTATTCGTAAGGAGATGACAAATGCAATTTAAACCATCATCATAATCATAACCATACCTTGCTCTTGAGACGCGATCTTTGACGACTCATCCTCAGATACTGGCCGTCCCTCGGTTTCCATCGTCTGCGCCTCTGGTTCAGGATAAATCGGCGGCGACGAAGCCCGTTGGGCAAATGGCGAACTAGAGGCAAGCATATCACGCCTCAGGTTTGGCAAAAAGCAGTCGATTCGTTCCCATGTGACTTGCCACAGTGCTGAATAATGCCGCTTGGCATCTTGCTCGTGCTGTTCGTGAGCTTTGTGAGTGAGTTGTAGCGTCTGATCGTCCTCGCTGTGATCAAATACCCCCGATGTCGACATAACCAGTAGCATGTTCTTCATGGATTCTGGGATAGCCTCAGACTGCAAAGTATAAGAAAATAATACAACTTCATCAAAGGAGACTTGAATCTGAATAAGAAAATTTTCATGTACTTCGAAAACATTCGTGAATTAGCATATTCGCAAACTCTTAGAGGCGAGGATTAAAATTATTCTTATTTGAGTGATCAAGGGGCTAAAGGTGACTTTAGTTTTAGCAAATAACCAAACTTTATTTCAAAGCAGAAAACTTTTTTTCGTGGAGTGGTCAATCACAGACAACGTGCACTCGCATTCTGTATTGATATCTTGTGGTAACAGTTTAATAAAATGGTTAGCGAGAAATATACGACAACAGATTCACTAATAATACAAGCAAAACAATGGTACACTCAAAATTCTTATACCAACCTTCCGCAAGGGCCTGTATTGCCTATTGAGGGCCATGATAACCATAGTAGTCTTTAAACATGTTAAGCAATGGGCATAACGCATTGAGAGAAAAAGTATACTCATGTATCTATTGAGCTTTCATTAAAGACTCATTGCTAACAATGAGCCATTGCGCTCTGCAAGCATCCCATAATGCATTTTTAGACAGTCTGAAATCAATTTTGGTAAATCCGTAGAAGTTTACTGCCATTGTTTGGATCGTATCCACACTCGCAAAGGCCCATTGTTAGCAATGAGTCTTTAAACAGGGATGAGAGTGCCTGGATACATAAATGTATGAACCTGAAGGTATAGTACGCTGATATCTGGATAACAAAAGATGCTGCCAATTTAGAAAGGCAAGTTACTTACCAAAAGATCGCTGCTATCTGCTTTCATGTAGCGATCCATGAAATCCAAAATTGTCATCCAAAGAGCTGTAAATGTCGATAGGGTCAGCAAAATGTTGAGCAGCTTCAAAAAGGCCTGAAAACAAATTTTACGAAAATATTATTCAATAAAGAATGTTTCAGGAATACTGAACGGTCTGTAATATATTTGCTATATTGTATACCATTACCGTATAACAGACATGTGGTATATTAAAGCAAGCAACCAAAGAGAGACACTTCTCCACTGATTAGATGCATAAATATCAACGTCATAGGCGAACCTGGTGCTGATGTTTTGCAAAACAAGTCGAGATCATGCACAAAAGGGAGGTTCAATGCAGGGTGCCCATACAAGATTTGATTTGTGTCAGATTCGAGCATTATTTTGGTACCACGAGCAGGTGCCTGAAGGTCCTATAGTCCACAGTTGCAACATAATGTTGACCCTCAAAAATTACTGTTTAACAATTACGAATTTACTATAAGCACGAAAAAGCAGAAACAGTATAGTCTATACCGAGATAATTTCGTGAGACACGTCAGTTAGAGACCACAAGGAGAACGAAAAATCCATATCAAGGCGCGGATAAAAAATATATTGAAATAATAGGTAAAGATTTTGAACATCAGAAAAATAGCAGAAAGGGAAACAAGGATTTTATAAAATATCATTATCGTAAAACTGTAAAGTTGTTTATCTGCTCAGGTTGTGAAACATTAGTGTAATGACAGAATGGGAAAAGTTAAATTCTTAACCAGATATGGATTCAATAAAATTGTCATTGTTAAAAGAAGGGAATAATCAAGGTGTTTGATAAACAGAAGAGTCCACAAAGTCCAGTTGAGCAAGAAACCTCTCTACTAGGTTTGACGAAGACTACTCGTTTACCAATCTGTCATAAAGTGCTCGATGCCGTGAGGTATAACTGTTCAAGCTCTGGTGTATAGAGTAGGACGGTCCTAAGTTGCCACTTATACTAGTTTATAAGAATTGAAATATTGATAAAAAAACTAGAATATTGATTGACTAAAGCAAATACCTTGCATAGCAATGTGGCAGCTCTCATCCTCGTTTCTTCTAGTCCAATTGGATCAACTTCTGATGGCACTTCAAGAAGTCTTGCCAGCATTGGAAACAGGACCTATTGAAGGATATTCAAAGTTAACGACCAGGCAAGATAGCAAAAACTACTATTCAATAACCATTGCAAAAAATAGATTAGACCTGTGATAGCATAGAATACGCTCCAATTTAAGGTAATTTGATTATAGTATTCGGTCCAATACCTTATTGAAACAGTTTTCCCATTCAGTGGCACTCAGTGATTGCAAATCCTCGGCAAGAAGCGACCTTTGAAGTATGGTCAAAGCAGACATTCGGATTTCTTTCCGATCGTCACAACAAAGTCTAGCAATGCCTTGAAGAATTGGACACCAACATTTAATCCACAGTAAACTCATACCAAAGTTGGCATCACCTGTAGAGAGAAAACAAACTCAATCAAGATCAAAAAGTCTAAAATAAAATGTAAAAAGCTTTTAGTCTTCTAAAATTGACGACGAGGCTTCGTTTCCATCTCATTATTATTTTTAAATTCATTGCCCAGACTTGAAATTCGGTTGAGCAAATGTGTAACGAACTTACAATTTAATATACTTGTAATACTTATAATACTTAATAATCGATAATCAGTATCTAACAATATTTTCCCGATACATAAAACTAAAGCCAAAACAAAAATGCAAAACCAGATTTTCTTGAATATTTTCAATTTTGTGTTTTTAGTCTTGCATTAAGACTGGATGAACGGCACTTATTTGATATCGGCAAAATAAATGCTTGATCTGGTTGGTGACAACAATCATTGTTTCCTCATTTGAAATCTTATGAGTTTTGGTTTGATCTTGATGATAATGTAATATTGTAAATCTTTACTTCCCGCTTGAAATACT